TTCCCACCATTGCTGGCCAGCTGCCAGAGCAGGTTGTCCTCGTGGATGGCGTAGGAGGCGAAGTTGCTGCCGGCGTCCACGAAGGTGGGCAGCGAGCCGGTGGTCAGCGCCTTCAGCCGCTGCATCGTGGTGGTCGGCGGGTCGGCGCGGAAGCGGTAGAGGCGGCCGTGGCGGGGCTGCTGGAGCGTCAGGCGGTGCAAGGCGCCCAGCCGGTCCTCGAAGGGTCGCGGCGGGCCGGCCGAGGGGTCTGGCCGGGGCCGCGCGAAGTCGAAGCGCAGCGCGTCAATCAGCACCAGCGCCGCCCGGGCGAAACGCGCCGGCAGCCAGCAGGGGCTCCGAGGCGGGCGGGCGGGCAGCGGAGGACCGCCCGGCGGTAGCGCGCAGTCGCTGTGATGGCCCAGCTCCAGCCGCACCAGGAGGAAGCCGCCGGCGAAGAGCGCCAGCGCCGAGCAAAGCAGCAACCCGACCCAGGCCACCAGCAGCAGCCCCGCCACCCGCCGCCCCGGCATCCTGCGCCCTTGGCCGACGCCCGCCCGCCCGCCGGAAAGGGCACGGCGGCCGGAAGAGGGCAGGCAGAGCGGCCGGAGGGCGCCCTCTTTCGGCGGGAGGAGTCAAGGGCGGCGGCTCTCGCTTGCTGCCGGCGCCGCCGCTTCACCAAGAAAAGCCCCCCCCCGCGATCCCAGCCGCCCCCCCCTTTGCTGCTGCCGACACAGGCTCTGCCATCTCCTTTTATTGCAACATGATTCAATCCAATCAGAAAATAAACAGGGGTGCGTCCGGGGCTCCTTGGGGGCCAGTCCTTGGGGGGGCCCTGGGGGCTCCGGCTAGCTGGTGCTCGACTGCTCCAGTTCCTCATAGCTGGTCCTGGGGGGCTGCTGTGCCAACCGGGGAGGGTCAGCGGGGCCCTCCAGGCTCTCGGGAGGCTCCTGAGTCTTGGTCAGGGAGGAGTAGATGGTCAGGGCCTGCGGAAGAAGAAAGCAAGGGGGTCCATCACCAAGGATGCCGGGGTGGTGGTGTCTGTCTCACCCCAGCTGCTGAGCCCAAGAGGCAGGCACTTCCTTGGGGGGGTTGCTGCTCTTTCCTTACCCCAAAAGAGAGCCTTGGAGGCAGTCTGCGAACCCTTAAAAAAGCTGCAAAACATGCAAACCCACCTCAATCCTTTGGGGTCTTGCTCACCCCACAGGGCCCTTTCCCCCATCTATTAGTGTCTCCCCATCTCACTTAAGGTAGGGGGACCCCCATGCCCAAAGAGAGCTTCCTGGGTGTTGCAACTGCCATCCAGCGGCCATCCCAACCTCTGAAGCCAGCCAGCCGTCCCCCCCCTTCTCCACCCCCCCATCCCTTCTCCAGCCAGGAGAAGCAAGGCTGCCCCTGCCATCTCCAAGACAGAGGCTGCCAGGGCCTGAGATACCATCTCCAGGGGCTGGGAAGCTTACTCCCTCTTCCTCACTCCCACCCCAAAAGAGAGCTCCCAAGACTGGCTGCAGCAGATATACCCAAAACTCAAGAGCCTTCCTGCTGCGGTTGCCTTGATTTCTAGTGCCCTTCCACCACCCAGCCTCGGGCAGCTGGCTCTGTTGTTCTGCAGTTATGGCTGGGGCTTCCCTCCCGCTGCCTGCTAGACCCACAGATCCCACCTTCCGCCTGCCCAGAGTTCCTGCCTGTGCTGCAGACTGCATATCCCAGGCCCCCTGGCTCTTGTGCTCCAGACTGACCTGGGCGACCATGCTGGTCACGTCTCCGGTGCTGGTGGGCAGGAGGATGGTGTTGGACTCTTTCGCCAGCTGGGAGAAGGCCTGCACGTACTGCTCAGCCACCGATAGGGAAGCCGCCATGTTGCCATTCTGAGAGGAGGACAAGAAGCATGAGCCAAAGGCCGCTGGAGGGGGCCCTGGGGGTGTGAGGGAGGGAGGGCCTGCCTGGCCTTCTCCCATCCAGCCTTTCAGAGAGAAGCCACCATTTGGCTCTTTAACAGGAATCTTTCTTTCCCTTCCTCGCCCAAAGCAGAATAAACAGGCCCCTCCTGACTCCACCAACCAGTGTCATTCAGCCACTTTTTCATTTCTGCCCAGAGGATGATCAAGACTGCTCTGCTTGGGCGCCAGGAAGGGGGTCTGCATGCCTGGTGAGCAGAGATGAGCGGAGGAGGGCCTCCAACCCGGCAATATCCAGGCCTCCCCTTCCCCCCATGGTCAGTGGGCTGACATCACCACAACAATCCTGTGAAGTGGGTTGGGCTGAGAGTGAGGGAGTAGCAGGACTTGAACTCTTGGTCTCTGGTTTTCTAGTCTGGTACCTTAACCACTAGACCAGGGGTAGGCAACCTTGGCTCTTTTATGACTTGTGGACTTCGACTCCCAGAATTCCTGAGCCAGCATGGCTCAGCTTGGAAACCTCTCCTTTTCCCCTCAGCGTGGCTGGCTCAGGAATTCTGGGAGTTGAAGTCCACGAGTCATAAAAGAGCGGAGGTGGCCTACCCCTGCACTAGACTAAAACACCCTCTTTAGAACCCGGGGTCTCCAACAGAGACAGACTCCCCCCCCCAACTCCCTTTGCCTCTCATGAACACGGACTCGCCCCCAGCAAGCGGCCCAGCCCCACCCAAAGGCTTGCTTGGAGCCCCTCTTCAGTTACAAAGACGGGCAGCCCCTCCCCCAACATGGCCAGCCCCTTCTTCCTCCCTCTCCCCCACTATCACCTGCTGGGTCAGAGCCATGCTCAGAAGTCCGATGGCCTCGGCCTTGGCTTGGGCCTTCACCAGGATGGCGCTGGCCTCCCCTGAAAGAGAGACCGCCCAGGTGGCTCACATCAAGGTCAGCTCTGCCCCCAGATGCCTCACCCACTCCCTCAGGGGGCCTTTGGACTGAGGAAGGGGGGAAAAATAAATTGCAGCTGCTCTCCTCCCCATGGGAGGGAGGAGGCCTGGGTCTTCCATGAACCAAGGGCAGCACCCTTGCTCCAGGCTGCCTGGAAGGAGTCTTTAGCTGAAGTGCCAGGCCTCCCTCGAAGAAGGCCGGGACCTCCAGCATCTGTGCTTGCCCCAAAGATGTCTCCTTCTGGGCTCCCATTCCCTCAGT